TAAACTTATAGTCTAAAATCATGTAAAAAACTCTAAACTACACACTTAAAAAAACTTTATGTCAATCCGACTTTGAACGAATGAGATACGCATGTTTTAACATTTTCACAAAATACAAAGTACAAAAACAAATAGCTGAAAAGTTAAAAAATTTCAGCTTTGATATCCTGACTTTGAGGGATTGTAATTCATTTAATATTAAACCAAAAATGACAAATTATAGTCTAAACTCATGTACAAACTCTAAACTACAAGTTGGGAAAAACTGTATGTCAATCCGAGTTCAAATGCATTAGATATGCATGTTTTAAAATTTTCACATAATACAAAAAAAAATAAAATAAATAAATAAACTAAAAATTTAAAAACTTACAGTTTTGATATCTCGACTTTGGGGGACTGTAAGTCATTGAATATAAATTCTTGACAAAATTATAGTCTAAAATCATGTAAAAACTCTAAAATACACTCCGGAAAAAACCGTATGTCAATCCAACTTTAAACGAATGAGATATGCATGTGTTAACATTTTCACAGAATATAAAGTACAAAAACAAATAACTGAAAAGTTGAAATGTCGCCCACAAAAATTGAGCCAAATTCAAACATTTTAATTCATTCAAAAACCATTAAGTTCATACATCTTGTTTTCAAAATAGTTTAAACATCATAGTATCCCCAGGACCATATCACATAAATCATAAAACAAGAGGAGCGGTACGATCACGTCTTCGCCTTGCCACGGTCTCCTGAAGTACCTGAAACAATACACTGAAACTGTAAGCCCGAAAGCTTAGTAAGTTACCCCCAAAATACCAACCACACATAAACATACTCATAACATATCACTAATAGAACAACCACGCACATCAGGTCTACTGTGTGACTGGTCCGCCCGCATCGGGCCTTCAGTCCACCTGGTCCACCCTCCGAGTCTAGCCATGTACATCGAGTCTACAGTGTGATTTGTCCGCTCGCACCGAGCCTTCAATCCACCTGGTCCACTCTCTGAGTCTACAGTATGACTGGTCCGCCCGCACCGGGCCTTCAGTCGGCCTGGTCCACTCTCCGAGCCTCGGCACTTCTGGTCCGCCCTCTTGGGGCCTTCAGCCTATCCGGACCGCTCGCTGGGCCTTCGGAACATCCGGTCCGCCCTGGGTATGTTGGCCTACAACACAAAGCAGGACCCGCCTCAACCCAACCCCAGTCCAACAACCATGTGCACATAAACATATAATCATATACAATCCTCAACCAGACAAACAGTCTAACAGATCACATAGCATATCAATATCCTAACCAGGATTCCGACCTAACCGGTCACTAGCATAACATTATCCTATATCCCGGGTACCGACCTTGACCAGGTCTCTAACACATACCATCCTAACTACCAGGATGCAAACATAGCAAAGCAATAACATAACAACAACTACCTGGATTTCCATCCGATAAAGGGCTGGCCTTGGTGCCGTAGACCCTGTCGATATAGTGAGGATAACTCACCTCGCAATTGCCGACTGAAATGATAAGATCAGCTGCTCCGATCACCGACACGAACTCCACCACCGTACACTATCAAGAACCAGATTCAAAAGCACCAATATTACCAAAATACCCTTGGTAAACAAACTGGTCAACTCTTGGTCAAAGTCAAAGTCCTCAGTCAAAGTCAACCTCCCTGACTGACTCTACTCGCCGAGTCGGCCCGTCGACTCGTCGAGTCCCTATACCCAGAAACTCCCATAACATGACTCGACTCGCCGAGTCGCCCCAGGACTCGTCGAGTTCAACGATCACTGAGTCCCCTTCTGTCCAACTCACCGAGTCATCCCTCGACTCACCGATTCACGACTTAACCAGAAAAGTTAGGGTTCCACGACCAGACTCGCCGAGTCCAAGGCAATCTTCAACAGACTCGCCGAGTTGTTCTTCAACTCACCGAGTTCATGCACAAATTCATACAACTCGTCGAGTACACCCATGTGACTCGCCGAGTCCAAACGTGACATCTTTATTCAGACGATTTCAGGCCATTTCCTTGCTTCCAATACATAGATCTGGACTCCTAGGGCCAGATTCACAATTAAAGTTTCCAACTTTACGTGCATGCAAGGCTCAACAAGCTCCAACCAAGCTATAAGAGGGTTTTGGGACAAAGATACTCTCCATCAAGCCCCAAGGCTGATGCTTTATGCTTCCATGGCTCACTACTAACCTAGATCTGAAGTTGCAACCTCAGATCTGGCCTCTAAACCCGAAATGGATTCCAAACAAGCTAAAAACCCCAAATTAACAACCAACAATGGATCTAGAAGAGGAAAACTCAAGGTGACGACTTGTTACCTCAGAAACGTGCCCAAGAAGGAGTAGATCCCGGATCTACAATGATTTCCCAATGCTAGCCTCTTGATCTTCTAGCTTCCTCCTCTTAAACTCTTCTTCCAAGCTCAAAACTCTAACAATGGAGGCTCACACACACCATTTAGGGTTTACAGACTCTTAGAGGCAATAAGGGGTTGAGGGGAGGACATAAGGTCCTTTAAATACGGTGCACAACCCCGAATCTTAGGGTTTCACATTCCAGCACGGACTCGTCGAGTCCAGACGCCGACTCGGCGAGTCCGGTCACTTAACTGGTGCACCGCATACGCTCCGACTCGGCGAGTTGAAGCTCCTACTCGCCGAGTCCTTCTTTTCCAACTTTACACTTTACCCCCTGAACTCTTGATTCTGACTTGGGATGTTACATGAAAATTTTCAGCTTTGATATCCCGACTTTGGGTGACTGTAAATCATTGGATATTAAACCAAAAATAACAAAATTATAGTCTAAACTCATGTACAAACTCTAAACTACAAGTTGATAAAAATCTCATGTCAATTCGACTTCAAACGAATTAGATACACATGTTTTAAAATTTTCACATAATGCAAAAAAAAAAAAATGTAAAACTAAAAACTTTCAACTTTGATATCTCGATTTTTGGGGACTGTAAGTCATTGAATATAAAAGTAATAATGACAAATTTATAGTCTAAAATCATCTAAAAACTCTAAACTACATGTTGGAAAAATCTTCATGTCAATCCGAATTGAAACGAATGAGATATGTATATTTTAGACTTTTCATAGAAATCGGTTCCGACCCTTAAAAGTGGCTCCGATTCATAACACTGGTTCCGATTCTTAAACCCAGTTTATCCGGACCCGATGAAACCAAACCCGAATTACCCAAAACCCGGATAAAATCATTCTTTAACCCGGAACCAGAACCGCTTCTATATATTCCGATTCTAATAGTTCCGGTGTCGGTCTGGTTTTTTGGTTTTAAATCTCATCCCTATTTTCTATGTGTATTTTTGGGCTATCTCAGTCATTTCTATCGGTCACACTTTGTGTTGTTCTCGTCTTCTCTCTGTATAGATTAGGGTTTTATCTCTTTGCTTTTCTATACATTCATTGTTCTTCAGTTATTCATATTGTAGACTAGTGTGAGTAGTTCAGATAGAGTGAATGAGTGAATCGTTGAATTGAGTGAATGAGTGAACCGTAGAGAGATTTCCTTGAAAGTACTTGAAAAACCAACTTGTTCTTTATGAATAAAAAACGGTTGATATTGTGATAAATGTGTCTCTCTTTAGATTGAGTTTTTTTAGAGCAATTTTATTAAATGATATCAGTTATTTAGAGACTACAAAACATGTATATTCTTTTGACCCATATGGATGAAGCACATTATATGGACCTTACGGATTAATCGGGCCAAAAAGATTCAATTATGATGAAATCCCATGGGGCATAGTAAACCACGATGCATGTTTTTTGTAAGTAAATATAGCTTCTTTTAACTTGTTGACGAGTTTGGTCTATTGTTAGAACACAAAACGTTCAAGGAAAATAAAATGATGCGGAATAAAATAAACACAAACAAGCTAACTTTTCAATGCATGGTTTATTCAATCAAGCTCAAATGTTCATGAAGAACAGGAGCCAGGGAAAATACGAAGGTTTATAATGCAAAGAAATGATTTTGGGTGCACACATAATCCTAACCTAAGGTCTTGTCCACGTATATATACAGTTACAAAAGGTGATATGTGAGACAATCAACCAATTTTGGAATGACACGTGGAGCATAGTAAATCACCAAATCTCAAAAAAATAAAAAAAATATGGCGTGATATGTGCATGTATGCTACAACATGTGTGAGTTTTGAAGGAGCATTCATAAAACGAAGTTCAGTTACTTCGAATCCATAATATAAAAGAATAAATGAAATCATATTTATAGTACAAAAAACTCGAAGCAGCAAGACTCGAATTACAAGTTTCGAAACTAAGACAAATACAATTTTTGATCTTCAACATTGATTCGAGTATGAGATTAAAGAAAGAGTTTTGAGTTTGATCGGAAGATTTATCATAATCATCATAATCGAAAATCTCAATGCAAATGCAAGTAGATATGCAATCTCTTTATCGTTTAGTTTATTTTATCCAAATTTGAGATCCAAAAATCTCAAGTTTAAACTTCTATGATTTAAGTTATAGTTATTAAAGTAACCAACATTATTCATACAAAGTCACAAATAAGTTATAGTTATTAAAATCACTAACATTTTTCATGCAAATTCTTACAAAAAATAATTTACATTATTCTACACAAGTAATCACCTACATCTCTAATATAACTAATTTTACAACACGTGCGACATCTCATCTACACTAATGTGGGTGTTGATCTACCCTTAACGTGGGTGTTGGCAAAGTTCAAACGATCAAATAAGAGTTAGTCGCGTCCAATATACAAAATCCTCCATCCCACCAACCATTCAAACGTCATTCCTCAATACCCACTTTGCGTTTAGACTTTAGCCTATTATATATATACATCATATCCTTTTGAACTTAAACCCATCGCACCATATAAGATGGACCTTTTAATTCTCTTCATCTACGCATGCATTACTATCGTAGTAGTCCATGCATTGCTTAACATGTGCACCCGCCGTCTTAACCGCCTCCCGCCCGGCCCAACCCCCTGGCCTATAGTAGGAAACCTACCACACCTTGGTAAAACTCCACACCACTCGCTAGCGGCTTTAGTGACACAGTATGGACCGTTGATTCACCTTCGACTTGGCTTCGTTGATGTGGTGGTGGCAGCGTCAGCTTCCGTTGCCGCACAGTGTTTAAAGACTCATGACGTGAATTTCGCCAGTAGACCACCAAACTACGGAGCTAAGCATATCGCGTATAATTATCAGGATATGGTGTTCGCTCCTTACGGTCCACGTTGGCGAAGGCTACGGAAGCTTTGCTTGGTGCACCTGTTATCTACCAAGGCGCTTAATGATTTCCGTCACATTCGGCAGGTTTTGCACTTTCCTTTTTTTGTAAAACCATAAATTTACATATTTTCAACATTATATCGGTTTAACCGGTTTGTGTTTCCTATCCTGATTAAAATATTGACTGTTAGAAAACTTTTTTAGAAAATCGGTATATTTATTATAAATGAAAAGAAAACTCTAACCAAAACTTGTTGTTTATATCCTACTTTCACCATACCCACTATGATGAATGTCTCGTTAATTTGCCCTTATCATTTTCATCTTTGCATGTGCACTGTGGATTAGTGGATACATCAGTACAATTTTGCCTAAACATAAAATACCTATACCAACATATTTCTATCATGTATCTTTGACAAACAAATAACTAGGCCATGGCTACTATAATCACATTCATTGTAGGCTACGTTTTTTATTAAGAGCAACAATATCCATTAATTAAAAACCTACCACAATAGTGTGTGCTAGAGAAAGGTATCCAAAAGTTACACAGAAATTACAACCATTTGAGAAAGAGATTTCATTGCTAAGTGTCTTTTTTTTTTTTTTTTGAACAACAAAATTTCATGAATCACACCCTGTATATGTGAATGAGAAAGAGAATTTCAAAAATGAATGTTTTTTTTCTTTAAGGAACACCATATCGTTACCATGGCAACTAACAAATATTAGGATGCTCTCATATTGTAGATTTTGCAGTTTCACTTATACGATATCCTCTTTTTTTTATTTCCAAAACCTAATTTCCGATGGAGAATCTGTTATGAACAGGAGGAGGTAGCTATACTCACACGCACTTTGGCGAACGCCGGAGAATATTCAACAGTGCAATTAGATAAGCTACTTAACCTCTGCATCTCAAACGCATTATCACGAGTCATGTTAGGTAGGAGAGTATTCACCAATGGAGGTGGCGCCGGCGGCGATCCTAAGGCAGATGAATTCAAGGAAATGGCGACAGAAGTGCAGGTCTTAGCCGGAGAATTCAACATCGGTGACTTCATCCCGGCACTTGACTGGTTGGACCTCCAAGGCGTCACCAAAAAGATGAAAAATCTTCATGCTCGACTCGATGCCTTCCTTAACGTGATCCTTCAAGAACATAAAACAACTGCCGCCAACGGCGGCGCATCAGGTCATGATGTCGACTTCTTGAGCATGTTGCTTTCGCTCAGAGATGAGGTCGATGGAAATGAAGCGATGCTTTTAGACGTTGAAATCAAGGCTTTACTTTTGGTATGTTTTCCTCATCATTTGTTCATATTTAATTTTGGCCAAGTAATAATATATAATAAAAACATAAATCTTTATAATTTTTAATTATAAAAGATTTAGTGTAAATAAAATCTGTCTCTTTATAATATTATAGTACGTACACTAACGTGCCTAGTTTAAATCCTAAATCCACTATGTTTAGTAAATTGTAAGGATTGAATGACTGATCAACAATAGCGGCGGAAATCTGAAATTTTAATGTAGGCTCAAGGCATGCCGTATGCACTACTAAATTTTTTATTTTATTATTATTATTATTATTATTATTATTATTATTATTATTATTATTTTGTGTGTCAAGATATATATGTATTATAAACATAAGTTTGGTAGCTTTTATATACTTATAAGATTATAAGACACTTTCGAGATATCACCTTCGGATGTTCTTAATAAATACGAAACATCTATGTTATAAAGATTATATATTGGTCGATATTAACCGTCTAGCATGAACCAACAATACTTTTTATGCGATTGGGGAAAACATGTATTCGACATCTAAGTTCGAGTTTCATCTGATCCAATGATTAGAAGCAATATAAAATGTTGTTAGGTTTATGTGACGAGAAATTAAATATTCTTTTACTATTTGTTTCTACAAATCCTCCTATCAAATTAAATGATGACATGTGTAACATTTAATGTTCATTTAATGATATTTTAATATACAAATATGATACATGTCATCATTTAATTGTGTAGGAGGATTTATAGGAACAAAAGTATAAAAATATTTAATTTCTCTTACGTGAAATGTGTTCTTGTTAATTAAGATTATGAGAAATTAAATATCATCATAATTATATTCCTACCCACTTTAAATAATAACAAATGTCTTAAAATATAATTAATTTTATCAAAATGTGACACATGTCGTCATTTCAAATGGGTAGGAAGATAAATAGAAAAAAATGGTAGGAAAATATTTAATTTCTCTAAGATTATATATCGATGATCACTTGGAAATTAAACAGTTTGAAAGTAGCTGTCGAAGTGAGAACGGCTTCAACTTTTGGGTGATATACGATTTAAAAATATAAAATGTGTTTTTTGATGTTATTTTTCTAAAAGAAAAGTTATAATAATTAAATTCACTATTTATTCTAACACTCTAAAACCAAATTAAAATTCTGAATAGGTAATATCAATTCGTGATAGAAGGAAAGTTATCTAATTCATAATGATGAATTGTTTTACATGATTTATTCGAGGTCCCAAAATAAAGATGTGTCTTGTACTTGTGCCAAAAATAGCAAAAGTACTCGTACTGGTATAGCTTTTGTACTGTGATTGTGTGTCTTCTTTTAACAACAAATTAAGATGTAAAAACAAAAGAAAAAAAAATCAAAATTTGAAATTTTGATAAACAACTAATATATTAATATAATATATTATATACTATATTACACAAATTATATTATTATATTAATGATGTAATAGCTTAATCCTTTTAGATAAAACTGGTGTTTGATAAAACGAAATCATTTGGTGTTTGAATCATTACAACTTCTTAGTGGTTAAGAAAAGAGTAAATTACATGAATGATCCCTATGGTTTGGGGTAATTTGTGCACTCGGTCTCTAACTTATTTTTTCAACTCGGAAGGTCTTTACTGTTTGTTTTTATTACATGCTTGCTCCATACTATTTGTTTTTGTTACACACTTGGTCACTGTCTTACCTAAAAAGATTATTATTTAAATAGAAAAAAAATGGTGGGGTCTGTAAGGTAAGGTGGGGGTGGAGTTAAGGTGTGTTTATTTAAATAAATTAAAAAAATCAATGACAAAATAATCTTTTTAGGTAAGATAAGGACCAAGCGCGTAACAAAAACAAACAGTGGTGATCTTCCGAGTTAAAAAAACAAGTTAGGGACCAAACGTGCAAATTACCCTAAACCATAGGGACAATTCGTGTAATTTACTCTTAAGAAAATATGTGTTTTTTAACCAATATTTAAAGTTGTATTAAATGTATTGAATGATTTGACTAATTTAGAGGTGACATGAATAAATTTATTTATAGGTTATCGACAACTATTACGTTGCTATTTTTTACCTATTCAATCTAAATATGATATATCATTGTATCAATATCGCCTAGACAATCTAATATAATTAAAACATCTGATTAATCGTTATTAATTTTTCAGAACTTGTTCGTTGCTGGAACAGACACATCATTTAACACCGTGGAGTGGGCAATAGCTGAACTCATTCGCCATCCACAAATATTGAAACAAGCCCAAGAAGAAATGGACATTATAGTTGGTCGAGATCGGCTTGTAAATGAATTAGACATAAGTCAACTAACATTCCTTCAAGCGATTGTGAAGGAAACCTTTAGGCTCCACCCGGCGACACCACTCTCATTGCCAAGGATTGCAATAGAGAATTGTAAGGTCAACGGGTATAACATTCCAAAGGGATCCACCCTCCTTGTTCATGTGTGGGCCATTGCAAGAGACCCAAAAATATGGACTGACCCACTTAAATTTAAGCTTGGTCGGTTCTTGCCTGGAGGTGAAAAGTCCAATGCTGATGTAAAGGGAAATGATTTTGACCTCATACCATTTGGAGCTGGACGAAGGATTTGTGCGGGCATGAGCCTAGGGGTGAGAACAGTCCAGTTGCTCACTGCAACACTTGTTCAGGCCTTTGATTGGGAATTGACTAATGGGTTAGATCCAAAAAATCTGGACATGGAAGAAGCCTATGGGTTGGCCCTTCGAAGGGCTGCACCCTTAATGGTGCATCCAAGGCCGAGGTTAGCCCCTAATGTGTACATTAGCGGCTAAAGTTAAGCTTAGCTACGTTCTAATGATAATAAAAGATTATCTATTTGATATTCTCTATAATATATGCATTATTATAAATGTGATATTAGACAACCAAAAAGTAATGTTGAGATTAGATATATGTGACTTGACAAAAAAAATTAGAAATTTTTAATTTTTATCGTAGTTTGCTTTGTAATGCTTTTACATTTGAATATGGAAATGTAATTTTATAATTTTTATCGTATAATTATGTGTTATGAAATACCTTTTGATTTTTATAGTATTTAAAATGGTAGGTTTTAATGAAAACACGTTGGCAATAAGCTAAAGTATAAAGTGAGAAGTATTACAATTCGATATCACAAGATGGGAGATATGACTACCATATTAGTCAATCCAAACTATGTTTTCTATATTTATTGGAAATTCAATCAAATGAATACAAAACTATATAATCAAATAAAAACTTGTATTCAGCTTCTCAACTTTAGAAATGGCGATATTTCTGGACTGCCAAAGAACCCATATGAGATAAGACTGTGGAAATGCCAATTAAACTAGATAAGAGGAATTTACTGGTATCAAACTAAATAATATTAAATATAAGGTAAAACATGATACCAAATAACACAAGTAATTATAAACCTTTAATATATGATGTTTACGTGTCATAATATTGCATATGCGGTTCAACAGGTTTGTATCTTTATGCATGACCCGCTTGTATCCCATTTCTTAGCCCTCAAGCGCATCCTACAGTACGTTAAGGGTACCTTATTGCAAGGTAGTCATCTTTGCAGATTTTAATTTCTTGGTTTCATACTCTGACTCTGATTGGGTTGGTTGTCATTCAACGCATCAGTCAACTTATGGGTTTTGTGTTCATCTTGGCGATAATCCCGTCCCCTAGTCCTCCAAATGGAAACATGTAGTTTATCTCTATAATGTTGAAGTCGAGTATTGAGGGGTAACCAATTTAGTTGTTGAAATTGCATGGCTAAGGAATCTTTTTTTTCTTTCGCAAGATATCGTCGTCTTTTGTGATAATGTTAGTGTCATGTATTTAGCACCAAACTCAGCTCAACACCAAGGAACCAAACATGTGGAAATTAATTTACATTTTGTTATGTAGCATTGTCATATACATGTTGATGTGCTAAACATATACTCCCTCCATCCCAATATTATTGTCCACAGACAAAAAACACACATATTAAGAAAAACATTAATTACCATTAACTTTATTTAATAAAATGACAGTTTTGTCCTTACTTTGCATTTAATGTTCCATTAAATGCTTAGTTGGTTAAGTAATAATGAGGGGGTATTTTGGTAAAAATGTTATTTATTTTTAGAAGTGGACTATTATTTCGGGACAAACCAAAAAGGAAAGATGGACTATAATTTTGGGACGGAGGGAGTATGTTATATGAGTTATTGTCACTATATCCCAACAAACATACGTATATTGGTTTAAATGGTCCTTCGTGACTATTTTTTGCATTTTAAGCGCATGTACTTATGTTTTACCGATTGGAAAAGTCATTTTACCCATTTTAGCAGGTTATCCTGCCTCGTCACTTGCCAAGTAAGCAGTGAGTGAACCCGTTGAGTCGATACCGAGTTGAATCGATGACACATATACATAGAATAATTACTGCCTTTAATTTCTATCAACACCCCACCAACCCTTACACTGTTGAATGAGTTCCAGGTCTGCATACTAAATGGGGACACATCATGTGGGGTTTGATGTAAAACAACCCTGAAACTTGTTTACCATATTCGGCCAAACACTCATCGACAAGAACCCTTAAAAAGCAACAATGTCGGCTCCACCACCTTCACCCAACTCTTTAATTCTGGTGAAGACAACAACTACAATGTGCTCCACTCAATCTTCTGTGAATGTGGTCAGAAGATTGCAGAAAACCAATCTAAAATGCAACGATTGAAGGAGCAGCTCGGACATGACTATATCATGTGCATGATCGACCACATCAGTCTCCAACATAAGTTGGATGATCATGACAGAAGTTTAAAATTGTTGGTGTTGCGATGGGTGCCATGATGGTGGAGATGCTCTTGTTGTTGGTGGTTGAGCTCCATTTCGTTGTTAAGCTTGGGTGATGGGTGAATTTGAAGCAATGGTGGTTACGAAGCATATTAGTATGTAGATTTTCTGTTTTTTATTTTTATATTTGTTTTTTTGCGATATATGTAAAAGACTTGTCTATATGACAGACATTTTGTAAGTGAACTCCATTATTGAATGAAAGACCGATCTTCATGATAGGCATTTTCGAAGTTACATGTTCTTTGTTCATTGCTTATTATCCTATTTACTAATTTTTATCCATAAAAAATTACGTTTAAAGTGAAAAATCTAGTATGCTCAAGAGTCATATTAAAATGATATTGTTAAATAACATATGATACTAATGGGCCACACTAACAACAACTTGATACAATTGATTATTTATTAGAAATTGATTTTAATAAATATTCAATAAAACTCTTATAATTAAATTGGAAATTATTTATTTCATTGAAATAATAATTTTCATTAGCAAGTAAAATTACATTATTTCATATGATATGAATTAATAAGTCATGCACAACCTTTTGGACTAGTTGGAAACCTTTTGTCTTTTACTCAAAAGACAAAGTTTATACTCCTTCTGTCCCAAAATTATAGTCCATCTTTCCTTTTTGGTTTGTCCCAAAATAATAGTCAACTTCTAAAAATAAATAACATTTTTACCAAAATACCTCATCATTATTACTTAACCAACTAAGCATTTAATGAACATTAAATGCAAAGTAAGGACAAAATTGTCATTTTGTTGTATAAAGTTAGTGGTAATTGTCACACCCCCGAACCAGACGGCGGAAACGTCCGGGGGCTCGTGTGACTAACAGTTGAATAATCATCACAATGAATATACATGAATCATAACACGATCATCACCAACATTACATAATACAAATAGCATTGTTCACATCAAGTACATTGTTAAAATACATAAGTTCCAAGTTTTAAAAGTACGATAAGTGTTGTTACATAAAACGAAACCATACACACTTGCAAATCTTCCAGCTTAACGATTACATGAGAATACAAGTTATTTTGAAAATGGTCAACATATATAATGTTGGTGAGTTCATAAGTATGTTTGAGTAAAAGTCATTGTATATTTCATAAAAACCCAGAAAATCCGATATTTTCTGTCAAATGTCTGAAAATGATGTGAAAATCAAGTATAAATGCATGTGTGAATTTCATAGTTATAACTTATATGAGTGTAGCTTAGTTTCATTGTATTTTGAATAAATGATAAGTGTATGTGAATAATTTCCCCAGAAAATCCGATATTTTCTGTTTTATAACGTCTAGATTTTTGTATCGTTAGATAAGTCGTTTTGCATTGACACAATTAAAGAGTTTATCTTCAAAAGGTTAAACTTTTGGTATTGAATCCCTATATGAGCCGTTATAACCATGCACGATAATGACTAGGTCGCCCGTCTTGGTATTTTTCCAAATGCCGGTCTTGCTAAGGATTTTGTCGCCCTAGACTGGCCTAGTCTAGCTGTAGCGAACAACTAAGGCGTGGGGGGTCACCCAGTATAGATCTATACACAACTCCCGCTTTCCTACCCGGAAACTCTGATTATAACTACATGCTACGATTGTACACTCAGAGGTGCCAACCGACATGTCTCACTAGATTCTCAACCCCTTTTTGTACTATGTTTAATGTTTACGTATATGTGGTATGTTTTTGTATTCAAAAGGTACATATATAAGTATACGACGTTTAATGATTACACAAAGGTATAGTTACGGCCTACTAACATGTGAAATTTCCATTCCAAGCCCTATTAGCATGTAATTAGACCACAAAGGCCCAATAACATGTAAGAGGGTAATTTAGGCCCAATACACATGTAAATGGGCCACAAAAGCCCAAATAAACATGTAATCCATAACTTAGGCCCAAATTAACATCTAAGTGGGTCACAAGACCCAATAAACACGTCATGGAAAACGTTGGGCTCAATATACACTTAATTGGGTCCTTAGGGCCCAATGGCCAAGTAACGTGTATATTAGGCCCAATAAATAATTATCGACGTATTCCGTTCATTCGTTTTGTTGAGTTGTTTATTTTAGCTCAAGGTTTACTAGATTGATGATAAGAAGCTTTCTTTTTGTAAAAATAAAATTTTTGGCCAATAATCCTCCAATTTTTAATTAAGGCCCAAAGTTTTGTAAAAATGACCCATTAGTCCATAATTTATAAAAAGTTGCAATTTTGTCCCAAATGTCTAAAAATTTACGGTTTTAGCCCAAAAAGTTATATTTTCACATTTAGAACCCTGTTTTGCGGAAAAGTGCATTTTCAGCCCCTTGTTTGTAAAAATTTACACTTTCAGCCCAATTTTTGGAAAAATTTACATTTTTGGTCCACTTTGAAAATAAATGTTATTTTCACCCCTAAATTTGGTTTATTTACATTTATGACTCAAAATTTGAACAAATAACATTTTTAACCCCAAACTTCATTACTTTTTGCAAATTGGGCCCAAAACCGTGAGGCCTAAAAGTTTTGGCCCATTAAGCTTAAATTTGCATTTTTGGCCCTTTTTAAAGTATGTTTAACATGTAGGACCTGTTTGGCCCTTATAAAAACATAAATGTCACTTTTTGCCCTTATCTTTTGTTTTCTTGACAATTTTGACCTTTAACAACGTTTTTGTTGAAATCTTTTGTATCTTAAACATGTAATCACTTTTGACTTGAAAATATGATGTGTATAATGTCATAGTTCATAGATCTTTGCTAAATAATACTTAAAATTTCGAGATTTGCTAAGATCTAACACATTTCTACCAAATAAACTAAGAATTCACACAAAACATGCATATAACACATAGATCTACACATTTTACTTGCATTCTCCCCAAAAAATCATATGAAAACCAAAAACAAGGGGCTATGAACTCACCTTTGCTTGATGTTTCGGTTTTTGAAGAAGAAGTGGAAAGAATTTTTGGTCTTAGCACACCTTTGTTGTGGATCTTGAGTTTATGAAGCTTCTAAGGTGTGATCATGGAATAAAAACCATGTAAGAAGGAGTTTTTCA